GCAGTAACGCAGCGTTCCTACGGGAAAGTAACGGTAATCTAATTACCATTTTTGCAATAGTAATCCCTTACTTTACTCGTTACTTGAAAAAAGTAATCAGATTACAGTAACGCGTTATGCATTACTTCCCATCTCTGCTCATCAATGGTGTAATGTTGTGCACAGTCATTCATGACCAAAGTTATTGTGGCTACCTTCACAGTATCAAACCAAAACCAGCCACCCTACATGGAACAGTGGTACCTAATCACTACATAAAACCAAAAGACAAAAAAATACATGCTAAACGTAACTCCCGAACTAAGCTCAAACAAAACAAAAGTATACAAAACAAATAAGTAGTTCATCCTTTATGCTTAGGAGATACATAGACAGTGAGGGAATTAGATTATTTACAAAATACACAAATAGGGGACGAGATAAGATAAGATAAAGATTTATCTGTTGTCGCTACATTAAAAAAAATTTAAATTGTGTAAAACTGCAGACAAAAACAGGAACTTTTCTATCTTCTAATTCTGTAAATATTACTTGGAAGAGGTCTTTATTTTGATTAGAGGCTGGTAATACTTTAAAATACAGTTAAAATTCTAAAATGCATGTTCTCCTTCATGTTTTCCAAAGCTGTCCAGTGGGCCAAACAGGAGTTTTTGCCATGTGGATTCTGGCCTCCTTGTTCAATCAACCAGGGCTGTAAGAAATGTGCCTGGAAAAAGTTGGGACTGAATCTGAACTGCCTTTGGAATTAAGGTTGTAACAGGTGACACTTTCAGAGAGACTGTTAAACACAAAAAAAGATTTAAACTACAAGAGAGAGGAGAGAGTTTGGAAACAAGTTCATAACATGCAATAGTGGCATGCACATGTAGAAATCACTGTAGATGTAAAACAAAGGACAAACAGACAGCAACAACAGAAAAGAAGTCTGACTCTCAATATAGTGGAGGCACTGATGGTGGGGAAATGTTTTTACAGGGATCAAAAAGTGGTGGCCATGTTGTCTGAGGGTGAGTAATGGGTTGGCTGTTTGTAAGTACTAGTGGAACTTCAGGAAACATGTCTAGCCGCAGAAAAAAAGCCACCCTGTGTGTCGGTGTTGGAGTCTGATGATGCTTATGTAATGAGAGAAAATTAGACACTCAGCCTTGATGTTGCTTTAAAATCTTCTCATCAAAAGACTTCATGTACCTCAACTTCAAAACATCCATTTTATACCTTCAAGTTTATAAGCAGTTTGTCATCAGAAACTTTAGAGGGTGGAACTCAACACCTCTGCATGATAGAGGTGAAGTAAAGATCAACATAGTTTGAGTCTGGTGGTTCTGACATCATCCTAGCCATCAAGTTACACAACATGTTGTGCTTAGAAGTGAACATAATTTTTTGTTTCGAATTAATGCACCCATCTTCCCTAAAAAAAATAATTAAATTTACCCAAAATTTTCATTTTAAAAATATTTATCAGGAAATATGTTGCCAGTTTGGCTTAACATAAGGACTCAGCATGAAGCTCTACACAGGTTATATTCAAATAGACATCTACTAACACCTCAAACACTGACTAATTAACATGTTATTTCTAATTATAACTATTACTACTATAACTATTTGTTCTCACCAATTTAATTTAAAATACTTCAAATTTGAATAAGTTATCACTTTAAGTTAAGTTGATAAAAAATAACAACACTTTTAATAAACATTCAGAATTCATATTTAGCAAACAGGTATTTTATTGTTAGCACTGAAAATATTGTTTACTAAATATTTGTAATGTAATTTATTTTACTTTGTCTTCATTTTGTGTTGTACAAAATGATAACTTTAGAAACCTCACCCACAAGGGGCTGATTGAGTGTTTTTCATTGTGCAAGGTAAACATTGTGTATGGCTGTGTTTTAAACCACGCCGTGTTCTCTTCCTAGCCAAGTAGTTCTGGTGTTTAAACCACTGAAACTACTACTTCATTTTTGTTTTAATGAAATAGTTCAAACAACAATAGGCAATAAGTCAAACAGGAAACGAATTGGATCTATATATTGCAAAAAGATTTTCTAATATTAGTTCCTTTGTCATTTTGTCATTTGATTCGCATACACACCTCTTCTCGTAACCCGAGGTCATCGAATAAAAACCTTTTAGTGGTCCCATATACTCGTTTCAGAACTCGAGGGGACCGATCTTTCCAAGCTGTTGCATCCAGACTGTGGAATGCACTTCCTCTATTTCTACAGTGTCTGGACTTGGTGGAGACATTCAAAAAGCAGCTAAAGACATTTTTATTTCAAAAAGCTTGTAATTAGACTAGAGTTTTTATGATGTATTTATGACTGTATTGTGTTCTTGTTATCTCTCTTGTGAAGCACTTTGTGACCTCTGTCTGTGAGAAGTGCTATATAAATAGACTTTTATTTACTTACTTTACATTTACTCTTTCTACTGTCTCTCGATCCCTCTGCAGAGTGCATTGTATCTGTTCTGTTGTGCACACTGAACCGTGGTAACTTTCAGAGGAACATGTAGAAGACAATGTTTTTAGCCCCCAGCCAAGGCCTCAGGTCTGAGTGCTTTCTTTTTTTTATCTCCAGCCCTAAGAAACTAATGAGCTCAACAGATTCTGTTTGCGAACTAGCCCGGGATTATGAAACAACCTACCCCTGTCCACAGATATGTAAAAGCTCTCATGTTGTGTGTGTTTGAGTTTTAGCTTGAACATGTTTTACTGTTTTACTAGGAGACAGTTAAAATAAAATGATCTTTGCTGTCAACTAATATGAGCAGACTATAAAGACAAACTAAAGAGAATCATGAGCAAATAAAAGTTCACTAAACACTATAACAATAAAATTGTGCAGAAGAAGTAGCATCACTGGTTTATGTCTCTTTGCTGCATGTAAAGTAGCCTACATGTGAGGCTATATATATATATATTGGTTTTAAAAATAATGTTAACTGTTGAGTAATAATGTTAACTTATCTCTCTGAAGCCAGGGCAAAGAAGGCAGCAGAGAGGGAGGCCAAAGCAAAGAAGCAGAAAGCCCCCAAACCCACCAAAAAACCCAAACCCCCCAAACCCACGAAGAAACCCAAACCACCGAAACCCACAAAGAAGCCAAAGGTGCCCAAACCCACTAAGAAACCAAAGACGACGACCACAGTGCAGCCAGACATCAGGCAGCCTTATCCAGACAAGGAAGAGGAGAAGAAACTGCTGACTAAGCTGGGCTTGGACACATGTATGTACATTTTAAATGTAAAAAAAGGAAATTAAAAATGTAACATCACATGTAATGGTGTTTCTTTTTTTTCTTTTTTTTCCAATTACTGTTAAATATTATACAATTTATCGATCCATCTATCCATCTTCTTCCGCTTTATCCGCGGGGGCAGCAGCCTAAGCAGAGA